ATAAAGGCATATACATATGTAAATATATTTATATGTTACAAGAGGGGAATAGAACTATGTACTCTCATATCTATGTTAAGAATTAAGGTTGCAGATGGACATTGGGCCTCGACTCAAGTACTCACTTAACACAAAAACACTTTGTTCAAACAATCCAGTTCTGCAGCCGCACATCCCCAGGCAGATGAGCCGTATCCTTTGCATGTCTCTGTACATGCACCGAATACCAATGCCGTGACGGGCTGTGTCTGGGTGTGCGTCCCACCTCAGTTGCTGTGCTTAGATGCCCCTGAGCCCATTACCACTCGCAGCGACCCTGTGCACAGCAGAATGAAACGCTGCCCGGCCCCGCAGACCCTCGCAGTGGCGATATTCGGGCCCACTGTTGCAGCTACTGTGTCAGTGCTTCGGGCTGAGGCTCTTCCTCTTTTCGCTGGCCCTCTGCGTGGCCCAGCACGGTGTCCTTTCCAGGGACTGCCTCTCCTGAGAACACGCCCCACCTGCACAAGGTCAAAACCCAGGTTCCAAGAGGAAAACGCACCCGGCTTCCTTTAAAGAGTGAGTCACTGGTGAATGGTGCTCACTGCCTCTTACTGTCAGGAATGAACACTGATGATATTTTCATCCTCCTGCAATTTCCCCAGCAGCAGATGATTCTTCCTTCCCTTCTTTGTTTTCCGATGTGCTTGAAGGAGACAGTATCTTCTCTCTTTTCTGATCATGGGGAGGGTGAGGAAACAGACAGGACCGTGGGAGTAACTTCCCTAAACCACAGGAGAAATCAGAAATGTGTCCAGCATGTTAGTGACTCCTGTTGGTGGAATTTTCCACGGCCAGTCCTGGATTGTGAGGAAAGTGGTGCATGGCGCTCCAGCCTCGGACCTGGCTGTCTGAGACTCCATCTTCCTGTTTCTCAGGGCATCAGAAACAGGAAGTAGCTGGTATTGTCTGACCTTTTGATCACAACTCAGAAATCCGAATGTATCCCATGCTTGGGGGGCTGGGGGTGGTGCTTAAAAAATTCCCATTAATGAAGATGGTATGGGTTAAATGAGTATAAACTTACTCAACTCACTGGCATCCCATCGAGTCAGTGCCGACTCTCAGTGACCTTATGGGACAGGGTAGAACTGTCCATGTAAGTTTCCCAGACTAACCCTGTCCGGGGATAGAAAGCCCTGTCTTTCTCCCAAGCCCAACACCTAACCACTGTAGCACAAGGACACATGATAAACTAGCTTCTGTTACATGGGAAGGGAGTAGCGGCGGGTCTCAAACTCCAGTAAAGGGCAGGGGCGTGGGCGGATAATAGATAATGTGCCTGCTTGACTGAGATGAGAGCCCCCCCCCACTCTCTGCCTCCATCCTGGAGAACTTCCAATTGCTAGGAATTGGCTGCGTTTCGTTCTGGGTTTTGCTGGTTTCATTATCTGGCTAACCGTTCTGCAAGTCCCAGGTCGTTTACCACTGGGCATTTTTCTCGGTTAAGTTCTTTGCTCTCCGAAGCGTGCCAAGCGGACAGCCTCTTACACAGGAGAGCCCTTTCCCCTCTCGTCGTCCCGGGAGCTGGAGCGCCATTCACTGAAGTCACGCACCGGCCTGGGCTGTCAAGCTCATTCAGCTCACCCTGGCCAAGGGGAACGTGCCCTAAGCTCCTGCTCCACCCACTGGCTCAGGGCCGGGCAGTCTCAGTGATGGCCCAGGAACGCCAGGAGCTGTGACTCGACGGACCGCTGGACGACCCACTTCATGCAGATTTCAGAAAGAGTCCTCCCTAGAAGCAACTCTCGGTTTGCGTTAGGGCTGCCTTCCGCCCCGAGAAGCTGACGGTCCCGCCCTCTCCCCGTTTGCAGACCTGCCTGCGCTGCTGTGGGCAGGCATTCTCCGCTCTGTGGAGCGCTCCTGGCCCTTGCAGACCTTGTCTCAGGGAAGGGAAAGGAAGATCAAATCCCAGTCCCAGCTGGGAGAGGAAGATCCGCTGCAGTGCTGTGGCATGGACCGCGTCGACCAGCAAGTGTCCTCAGCCTGTCCCCTTTGTGTCCCCCTCCAGGTGCCACCAACCCATACACAGAAGCAAACTACAAACCCACCTTCCTGTCAGACGACGAGCTGAAGCACCTCATTCTCAGGGTACGTCTCCGGCATCATCTTCAGAATCCGGTGCCCACATGCGTGATTGTGTGTGCGTGCGCACCATGGGGGGATGGGATGTCTTGGCAGTGAACTTGTTTAGCTCACTTCCTCTCTCAGGGCCTCCCCTCCACCTCAGTGTGTGGGCAGGCCTTTGGTCCTCCCTCAGTAATTCCCTGCTCTTCTCCCCTTTCTGGGGTAAAAGCTGGGGCTTGTCGTTTTCCAACTGAAGGGCCACATTTTTTTTTAAGGTAGGGTAAAGATATCGGACACACTGGAGCTTGAAGCTTTTGGAAAAGGCTTGGAAACTCATACTGTTGAGAATTTCTCTCTTATCCTAACAGCCCCTGGTGGACAAAGTCTTCAGACCAACCTTGGTGGGCCCCAGGGGAAACAGGTGGGCGGGACCGAGGCTCTTGCTGCATCTAGAGGGTGAACTGAGGTAGCATGATGGGCAGAATCAAGCCTGCCCAGGACTCCAAGGCACGGGATAGGAGAATGCGAGGAGTCTCCAAAGAGGGGTAAGAGCCTGGATTCGGAAATGTGGCCCCCTGCAAATTATGTGGGGGAAAAAAGAGCAGAAACAGTCACCCAAAGCAAAGATGCCCCCCACCCGCTGGGGCTTACCTGGCTGCTGAGCGCCCCCCAGAATCGCAGCACCCTCCTTGTATAGGAGCAGGCAGTGCTTTGAACTTAACATAGGTCTCTTTTAGCACCCTACACATCCTCTCATTGGATGGCCCCACGGTCCAGCCCATCACTGATGATCTTCGGAAGCTTTGTATGGTTAGTAGGTCCAGTAGGCATGCCTTCTGCTCTTCATTTGTCAGCCAAGCATGTTTGAAGACTCACTGTCCGCAGGCATCGCTGCAGGAGCAGCCACGTCAGTGATAAGTGCTTTGCCGAGGGTGTGGTGCCTCTGGTCACCATTCTCGGGACAGTTACTCAGACACCCAGAGCTGCCTCTGCCTCCTAGTCTCTTCCATGAAGACGTCCTTGTTCCCAGGGCCGCATGCTTAAGTCCAGACGCACACCGTGTTTTCAGGATCCCTGCAGCGCCCTCTGTTGGCTTTCCACAAACCTGCGCAGCCCTGCAGGGCCCACATGCAGAAGTACCTCGCGCTTGGCTTCGTGGCCGGCTGTTGCCCTCTTGAAATTTGAAATCTTCTTTGAACACGAGACCTGGCCATTTCATTTCTCCCTGAGCCCCACAGATAAGCCAGCCAGGTCCCCATTTTTGGGGTTGTTTTGTTTTGTTTTCCCTTCCAGCGAGTTGTCATTGATCGGCCCCATCTCATGGTGACTCCACGTGTGGCGGAGTCCTGTGCTCCGTGGGGTCTTCAGTCAAAGTTTTCAGAAGTAGGCCACCTGACCTTTCTTCCAAGGTGCTTCTGGGTGGGCTGGAACCTCCAGCGTCAGCGCTATCAGCGAGCACATGAACCACTTGAACCTCCCGGGACTTCATTCCAGCTGCTCTGCCAGTCATGTGACTCCTTTGAACCCCTGACGGATGTGTAATGCTGCTGTGCAGACTCCCCTCTCGGATGCCCCCACATCGGAGTGTGGGGCGAGGGTTTGGTCATCACTCCGACTTAGCACTTCCTCCTGGGCTGGCCTTTCCCTCTGCCTCATCGCGCCAGGGGTCCCCCTGCCTGTCCCAGGCAGACTCTGATCCTCTCCCTAGCCCACAGCAGTGACCGAAAGTACTGTCCCATCGTGGCCACACTCTAGGGTCTCCAGAGTCGCTGTGTCACCTGGGTGCATTGGGAGCCTCGGTGTCCAAGTCTGCCCAGCCTTCCACCCACTGGACATTCCCTCTGGAATGTCACCGGCGCTGTCTTCCCAGGTGCCTCTCTGAGGCCACATAACTTCATCGGTGAAATATAAGACTGTCTGTGACGCAAGCAGAAAGTTATTAATACCCTATTTTTTTTGACAGAATAAGCCTTTCAGCAGATGGTGCTTGGAAAACCGCCTCCCCTCACTGCCATCCCTGCCCCTGGGCCAGCTTTGGAGAGGCTCGCCCCCAGCCTCCCCCTGTCCTTCTGGCTGGTGGCCCACTGTGCTCTCGGTGAGCATCAGGGCGCCCGGCCCCCACGCTCCCTCTGCGTTACGCAGCCCTTGGCCAGCACCCTTCTTTTCCTTCTGACCCAGGAGCTCATTCTCTAGTGCTTTCTTTAAAATTTTGTTTTAACAAACAAATGTATTTGATCGCACTATAGGAGGCTAGAAGCCTAAATTAGCGTTACCCCTAGGAGAACACACGGTGCCATCTGGGGGAAGGTCCTTCTTCTCACCCGGTGTCTTGGCCATTGCACTTCCTAGTTCTGTGAATTAAAGTCCACCCCACAGGCCTTTTGTGGGAAGGGCAGAGCAAGTGTCTCTAGATTCCAAAGGCTAAGGAGAGTCGAGCCAGGGAGGAGTCTAGTGTGATTGACAAAACCAACCATTTTAGATGCTGACGAGCTGCCCAGAGCAGGCTGCGGGTGGAGGCCTTGAGCTGGGGACAGGTGGGGGCAGAGATGCCTCTTAAAGGGCCCTTCCAACTTCCGATTCCACCAGTCTACCGAGAGTTCCTATAAGTAGATCAATAAAACAATTGCTCTGGGCTGTCATACAATTAAAAGAAAATACTTGGGCTGGATTCTGCTTTGAAATATAATTCACTATAGACAATATATTGATGTACATATGTGAGTGCGTGTGTATACGTATGTGTGTGTGTATGTATGTATATCCACCCCCCAAAACTTATGCCATCAAGTAAAATGGGCTCCTAGAGCCCCTGTCAGACAGGGCAGAAGTGAGTGTCCCTATGGGTCTCCAAGACTGTAACTTTATCGGAGTGGAAAGCCTCATCTTTCTCCAGTGAAGCAGTTGGTAGTTTTGAACTGCTGCCCGTGCTGCTGACAGCCCAATACGTAACGCACTCTACCCCGAGGGCATGTGTATATATGTATGTGTGTATGCATGTCTCACACACCACGTCTCTGAGGGTGTCTTGCAGACAGGCTCCTGTGGGAGGAGGCTTGGTTGTCAGCGTCCTGCTCTGGGGCCGCCTGCGACATGGCCCCTCGTCTTCTTCGGGGGGAGGCCTGTCCTTGATGGCTGTCGCGCGACCACGAACCGTGCTTCCTCACGTGTGATACCTTGCTTCTGCATTTCTCCTCCTCAGGCAGCAGATGGATTCTTGTTTGTCGTAGGATGCGACCGAGGGAAGATTCTCTTTGTGTCGGAGTCGGTCTTTAAGATCCTCAACTACAGCCAGGTACTGTCTGTGTCCCGTGAGCCCTCCGTGCTCCGCTGCCTCCCCTTTCAGAATCACTGCAGTGGGCTGGCCCCTGACTGCGTTTCTCCCAGCTCCGTCTTCCCGGAAATGCCTAACTTCTGCGAGGAAGTTAATAAACTTGGGGAAGTCTTTCTGTCTGCCCACTCACTCCCCACTGGAAGGACTGACCCTGAGCTGACTAGCAGTTTGATAACATGATCATGGCTGCAAAATGCATACCCCACAGCTGGAGGATTGGGGAGGGGCATAGGGTCAGGTGACAGGGAGTGGGGCATGCAGCATTAGAGGGCAAGAAAGATGGGGATCGCCTCAGACTGTTTGCAGGGACATGCCACTCCCGGCGAGTGGCCTTCAGCAAGTCACTCAGCTCTGTTAACCTCAGCCACTCTGCAAATGCCTGTGGTCGCCCATGCCCTTTGACCTTTGACAGGCACACAGGGACATTTACAAAAGCTGCTCACTCGCTCACCTCACTCATTCACCTCGCTCGCTCACTCTCTCACTCATTCTCTCTCATTTACTTTCTCATTCACTCACTCATTCTCTTATTCACTCACTCATTCTCTTATTCACTCACCTCACTCAC